TATTTATAGACAACTGAAATTTTCAATTTTTCCAGTATACGAGTACTCCCTTCGAACAGTTCGAACCGCCACTGCCATAAATGTAAAATAACGTTATTTTGTTAAGTGGTACACAAACATATGTCCGCCTATTTTCAATTTTTTTTTATAAAATATTGTAATGAAAAAAAGTTACAATAATAAAATTCTAGTCAAAAATATTTTTTATTTTAAGAAAATAATTTATTATAAACATATGTTTACTTATAATATAGCTTATTCAGTATTAAACTCTTAATCTAAACTAATTATAAATGTAATAATTAAAAAATAAAMAGTATTTTTATCTAACAGTTTAACTTGAAATTTTTACAAAAATATGATCAGAATCAATTTAATTATTAATGAACAACAGTGCTCTAAATTCCTTATTTTACATTTCATTAAGCAAGAAAAATTTTCATAAATGTAATATTTTGTATCATCACAACCTCCTTATGCCAAATTTAGGTATTATTTTTAAATACCTATTCATATTTTTTATTTCAAATACTATACTTAAAATATMTCTTTTTATTTTTATTAAAAAAAAAAATTGGTTTGTGATTGAACAAGTAGAGGAATACTGATCAGAATATAAGACATATTTCAAGATGGAAAAATTATATGTGTAAAAACCATATAATCTTTTAGTTTAACATACAAGACTGATACCAAAATTTCACTTAATAAATTACTTACATAGCAAATTKATGTTGAGAATTTAAAATTTAAAAAAATAAAATCGAAAATATTAACAAAATAAATAAGTATTAACAGWTTTTAGTAGGTATATAACAATTAAAATATACAGATTAGCTGAAACACTAACTTAGTCCACACATGAATTTCAACTAAAATTATTGTTACGAGTGGTTCTCCTACGCTTAGGTTCAATAACGTCTTCATCTTCTTCTCTCTGTAAAAAATTTAAATCATCAAAATAAAGAATGTGGTGCTTGTTAATTAAATTCACACTTACTTCTACAGACATGTCTAACATAGTAGAATCTTGAGCGTCATTATTCTGTAGAAAAAAAGGTACGGTAAATAACAATAAAAAAAAAAGTTAAAAAGTTATTGAAGTAAACATAATAATAACATAATATACTCAGACCTAGTGGAAAACACAAGACCTGGGGCGGTATTTTCTTGGTGATAGGTTGGGTCATATTTAAGATAGTATGTTCCTCCTTAGGCAAAATTTAGTGAATTATAGCTTAAAGGTATACTGTTATTTAAGCCCAAAGTGGGCATAAACATGTTTGAGGAAATGGTTAAGAAGATAAGGGGTAAATAGAAAGATTTATAATAATAGGGAGGCAAATTAGGATTTTGCTATTGTAAATATTTTGACTAAAGCCGGCTCCGAATAAACTGTTCATTCATTATTATTAGTTAGGCCATAAATCGAAAGACATAAAGAAAACATTGAAAAAAAAATGACAAGTTACCATACTGTTTTTATAGTTTATAAGAATAGATAAAATTATATTATTCTATTTGTTTGAAGTATAATTTTGTGAAATACTAAGACAAAGCATAAATAAAATAATAAAACTCCAGAAGAAAATTGAGGCCAAAGCCCTATTATAACTAATAAGCTTGGCTGATACTGTTAACATTCTTTAATATTAATTATAAACAGAACAAAAAATCTTAATATATGTTTTTGATATTGACTTCAGACCTCCTGTGAACAACAGTCCAGATTAAGAGGTCCCAAATTTCAAGTCATTTTCCTTACAAGACAAGGAATWAGCTCGCAAGGATGGTTTTGTCATCATTAGTCAGATGTTTACAAAACTATTCAGTATTCTAGTTAAATCTTCTGATCTCTAAAGGTACGTCTCCCCCAAAACAAAGTAACAGTTTAGGAGGAGACGCACCTTAATATATCCTTATGTAGGACCCACTTTGGATCTTATAGTAAAAAATGCCTAGCAACTACAATTAACACACTATTATTAACAGAACTATAATTTTAAAATATATTTTTAATATTGACACAGGCCTCCGAAGGAGCACAGTTCAGTTTAAAAGGTCCCAAATTTTAAGTCATTTTCCTTACAAAGCAAGAAATAAGCTCGGGAGGAAGGTTTTGTTATCATTAATCAGTTTTATTCACAGTTATCTAACTTATTATCTAGTACTCTAATTACAATAATTTTTTTATCACAAACATTTCCTATAACATTGGTATGGAAGTGGTGCCGAGCGTTCTAAATAAATACAACTTTACGTTTTGGCAAATATTTTTTGAAAGTTTTAAATGTTGGAAGGATAATTTACTTTTTGAAATTAATTATGAAATATTTCATTTTGAAATGTTATCGTATATTGAAAAACTCTTCAAAACTTATATTTTAGAGTTTATAAAGGACAAACAAAATAAATATTGTCTCTTTATACATTAGTTAAGATACAGATTAATTGTTGGAATAGGGCTGGTCCAAACATTTATATATAATCATTAATTGTACACTTACAATTAAATTATTAGGTTAATTTAGAGTAAAAATACTCACTACTTTAGATTCATTAGCACGACTAGTTTGTATGTTATTTTTCTGAATTCGAGGTTTAGTGGTTCTTAAGGCAGCCGAAAGTCCAGTTTTTTTCCCATTATTGTTTACTTGCTAAAATTCAAAAAGAAAATTGTTAGTATCAAATCCATCTCTTCATTACAAAAAGTTACTTTGATCTGGAATTTTTCTGGCAAATAAACCTTTACGTTCACAAACATGGGATCATCATGCCTCTTGAAAAACATTGCCGAAATTCTGATTTCAGAAAAAGGAGATGTTTCAAAAGTACTAGTATGAACTACTAATACACTCATTGCCAAATCACAAAGAGCCCACATTTTCTAAAACAAAAGTTTAATATACATTATAAATATAAAATTACTGTTGTGTAATAAGGTTTTATCAAAATTAATTTAGCAAAAAAATATTTTATTTTTTAAGTTGAACCTTCTTAAATTTTCAATACTTAAAAGTACATTACATAAGAAATAAAATGTTAGAAAATAATTATTATTACAGCATTAACAGTCTCATTAGTTGGTTCTACAGCGTCAACATAATTTTTGACTCGCTCCAACATCTCTTTATAAAATCCAAAGTTATAAGAATCATTTTTGGTGATCAATGGTTCAAGAATAAACCATAGGCACTGTTGCATCAATGTCAGACTTTCTTCATCTCTGTTATCTTTATACACTGGAGAATGGGTTAAAATTGATATAGCAAACAACAACATATAATCAGGTAAAATATGAGGTAATTGCGCCATTGCTTTTTCAATTGAACCTATACAAATTAAAACATAAAATAATGAACTTTGAAAGACATTAAAAACCACTAGAGTAAATAATATACATGTGGCAGATCCTTGAGTTAAATTTCTGGCATAATCACGTCTTCTGTTTATATCTTTTAAAACATAATCATAGATTTTACTCCTTAATCGTTCATCTGCTTCCAGTCCAGCCAGAGCGTACATTCCCATAAAATCTAACGGGAGACATTTGAAAGGTAAACCTCTTCCTAAGCCTTTATGGAGTTTTGCAGCAAAAATTTCTCGCACTTCTAAAACTTCATCCTGAAATTCATTTAATTTATTACACATTAAGATAGAAAAATAAAACGCCAAGATTAAAATATACCATCATAAGTCTTGATAATAAAAAGAACTGTTCAGCTGTATATTGATCTCCAACACCTTTTTGTTCACAAATCTTTAACATAGAACAGCCTGCTTGTAATCGTAGCCAAGCTAATTCAGATTTTGATAAGATTCCAGATTGTGTAAGGTCGCCTTTTTGTGACAAAAAAGCATTAAACATTCTAAATKTTTTTTGAGCTGATACTTTATCATTCTTTAAGCCAATAAGCCACCTTGCCATAGCCTTCATACCTTCAGCCTTAAAATACAACATAAAAATAAGCATACAATATTTATATTAAAACTTTAAAAGTTATAGCTTACTCTACACTTAGTGCCTTTTGGTAAAATTTCTTCKGAACACCAATTAGCATCAGCATTATAAAGTTCACTTTTAACAGACACTTTTACTAATAATTCTTTGACAATCTAAAATAAAGCAAATAACATATTTAAAGCTGTTATTCAATATTCACATATTTAAGACATGTGTAAACAGATACGTGCCAAAAACTTGAAGTCCACTATATTAGTCAATAGTTTACTGACTCCTTGTTTTGTCGTACACTGTTACTAATAATAGGCATGGATATAATAATTAGGATTATGCYTAAATACAGCCTTAGAAACGTGTTTTAAAATAATTTATGTTAAAATCACAATTTAAATAATACATTTTACATTCCTCACAGCCATTATGCTATACATAATTTATTATGTATAGCTATTATTATCAGAACTTTTAAGCTTTAATTTATAATCTATATTGTTTTGAAAAACTATTGACTTCAGACCTCCTAAAAAACAACAGTTCTATTTAAGAGGTCCCAAGTGTAAAGTCATTTTCTTTACACAGTAAAGAATAAGCTCGCAAGGATGGTTAGTCATCATTAGTCAATATAATTGTATGTATTATATATTATGTTATACTAGCTGATCCCTGCGCATTTTGTTGCAAATAATAAACTTTCCCCACACACTAAAAGTGAGCATAAACTTCCYCTTTCAAATTTCTTTAGAGCCGAATGAAGTCTTTGATAAAGCTTGTTATATAGTCTTGAATGATTCTAGAAATGTTTTGAGGATAGATGTGAGCCTGATGTAATTTCTTTTAAAACTGATGTTGGTTAGGAAATTTTAGGTATAACTACTTTTTCACCAATACAGCATAGTCCATGAGCTTTTTTATTCTTCAATTCTTGRTTGGGGCAGTTTTTAATTTTTTTTTATTTAARCAATGCAAAAAATCTGAAACATCAAAACTGATTCAAACAAGAGACATTCAGTACATTAATTTTACTGAAGTATCATTGCGTCATAGATTTTTGATCCRCAAAACAAATTTTACGGCTTTTTAAACAGCAAATTCATAAATATCTCATAAATTCTTAAGTTCTGACTTAACCTGTGGACTCTACAAAATTTATATAGCTTATAACCTTCCTCGGTTAACCATAATAATATGGATAATTGCTTTATATTTTCAAAAAGATTAGCGCAACATATAAGGCCGTTTCACAGCACACAGATTAAAAACTGTTTTTTTTCCATCATATTTTAAATATCACAATTACACTTTGAAATTTCAAGCAATTTATATTAGTTTAACTTACCTTTCGAGAAATCATATTCTTGAAGTGGACATTATATTTTTCAGCCACATTAATAGCTAAATGTCCGAGAGCTACTATTGCTGTTTCATAATGCTTTGAATCTGGTTCTAAATTAGTTTTAGTAGCCTCCACAATATCRTCAAAAATGTCATTTTTGGATTTATATACATTGACATATAAACAACGTATAGCTCCTTTAGCTTGTTTTGGAGTACCACTCACTGCCAGTTTCTTACATATTGGTATTAGTTTTTCTGTGAATTCTGGGTACGAATCGCCTATAATATTTACAGAAGTATTATTTTATTTGATAATTTAATAGTATATTTTAAAAGAAAAATTTACCAAGTGCACTATATTTGCCTATTGTAGTCAAAATTGTGAGAACTTGAGGGGCGATGTATTCATCATCATGATGTGATAA